CACATGATGCTCTTGTGGTGTGAAAAGTATCTAGCAGCGCCTTCATTATTTTGACAGTAGAAAAAGACTGTCACTGCTTTTGGTCATGATAAGGTGCCTTTCAACATAAAACCATAAAATATGCCTGATATTTTAGTTTTCATATGCCAAAATAGGTATATAAAATAGCTATTTCATCATCTTTTGTTGGATGATATTGCAAGCTATTAAGTTTGCTGCATATTTCATTACTATTTAAAAAATATTTTCTTTCTTGGGTTTGGTTTTTTGTTTGGTTTTTTTTTTTCTTCTTATTTTCTGTATCCTAATACAGAAGGGAGATATGAGGTTATGTGTTGTCACTGGCCAGTGTTTATTCTCCAACAGAACTAGTCTGGAAGACTAGCTTGCTGCTTTGACAGTTTTCTCTGAGGGAGTCTTCAGCAATACTATGACAGCAATCCTAGATAGAAAGCCTATCCTTACATTCAAGGCCATTATTGAAAATCCTCAGTATTATTCTTGCAAGACCGTAGTATGATATATAAATGAATTATTATCATTTTAATGCTCAGCCAGATTTGGACTACAAATCACCCTAGCAGTTGTGTGATCATGCATTACTTCAGCTACATAGTGAAATCTGTAAGTCATTGAAGAAAAATTACATGCTTTTTCCCTCTGAAAACAGTTAACTCCTTTGTAACATTAAATTTAATATATTGGGTCACATCTGTTAAAAGATTATTACACTAGAAGGAGGCAATGGATAATTTATTAAAATACCCCTGCAGGGAGATAGCAGGCTATCTGGTTAATATAGAGGAATGCTTGATAGTTACACTGAAAGCTCCCTGGTGGATCCTTTAACATAGGAGTAGAATGGGAGATGAAAATAATTGCTCGTTATATGATGTTTACTGTGTTATATTGGTGCCTAGCAGCTGAATAATATTTATGTTAACAGCTTCTTTCCAGCTTTTCATATTGATCTCCTGCTGGTCTAGAGCTGATATATAACTGTACTGGAAATGGGAAGATAATATTTTTTTTTTGTAATGGAGAGTGGCAAAAAGGTTCTTCCAGCATAACACTGAAGTCAGATATGAGGGGAAAGATGTCATATCTTTTTGCCACAGACTTGTAAGATTTGGATTCACTTTTTCTTCAGAGCTATTTCTGTGTCATCTCCTTATAATCTCAAAGGAATTGTGGAAACTGTCCCACAGGCAGTAAGAGTTTCTTGGTGAGTGGGAAAGCTGCTTTCCTTTGCCTTGAAGGAGCCTCCCTGTTGCCATACTTACTGAGTTTGAGGAGGACCAAATTGTTGTATGTCTTTCTAGATATAGAGAGCTAGATAGCTAGAAAGCTGACAAATAGGTGTCCTCTTTTACTGAATACACAGTTTCTGTGTAACTGGCCAGTCTTGGATAAAGAGTTTCATTCATGTTGTAAGAATTGAGAATTGACATTTTGGTGTGGTTTACGTCATTTCTTGTATGTACAGCCTCCCACTTAGAGAACAGGAACAAACCAAGTGTCTGGTGGTGAATTCCAGCTGGAAGCTCTCCAGATCATGCACCCAGAGGAACCAGCATGCCTCAGTTTTCCTGCTCACAACAAATGACAGTTTCATGTAGCAGCTGTGAGCTCAAACAACCTAAAAAGCGTCCTCAGGGACACTTGCTTTTGTTGGCTTCTTGGGCTGGTGCTTCTGGGTTCATTCACATCTACTGTTGAGCAAACCATGCCTTAGAAATAGCAGTGGTTTCTTGAAAAACTGAGCATTAAAAAAGAAAACAAACAGGCAAGCAAATAACCCCAAAACCACTACCAAACCACAAAACCCAGCAAACCTTTTGCATGTTATGGATTGTTCATTTCAGGCCCAGTGATGTTATGTCAGAAATTTCTGACTGTACCTGTTAGACATGGTGGACTCAAGGTCTAGGGTAGAGGGATCCTTGCTCTCCTGATGAGAGATGGTTCTGTGAGTTTTATTGGATTCAAGGGATATGAACACTTGGAACAGAACCAGTGCTGCGCTCCTTAATCATCATTATCATTAATATTGCTTCCCTATGAAGTGAATAGTATTAAAGTAAGACATAGCAAGACTAGATTTGGCCACAAACTGAAATGCATTTCTGCTATATTATCTCTGAGGAATGAACAAAAGATATGAAGACCATTTATATGATTATATTAAAAAAAAAAAAAAAAAAAAAAACAGATAAAAATGTTATAAAAAAAAAAAAAAAAAAAAAAAAAAAAGAGCAAAGCATCTCTTTGTTCAGTTCAGTTCCATGATAACTACAGTCCTTAAGTGCATTATTGTGTGCTTGAGTATAAATGCTTGATTTCAAGTCATAGGGTACAATGAAAACCTGAAGTATTTAGGGGAGCAAACCCAATATATTAAAGCATGCTATTTGGTGGTTTATCCTGAAAAAGGAGTAAATTCTCCTGCATGTCAGACAGTTTTTTCCTTCTTAACTTCTTGATGGCTAATGCCTTGGAAAATTATAGGCACTTCTATTATAAGAAGGATCAACAGGGATATAATAATCCCAATGGACTGCTTCTTTAGTAGCTTTCCTTTATAGATCTTAATACATTTTTTATATTTAAAGCTTCATATGACCTTTGTGAATAAGTAAATGGAATTTAGTAGGATAGCTTCAATCCTGCTTAAATGCTATTTCCCCCTGCCCCTGGAAAGCAATAGCATCTGTTTAACTGTACATACCAATGCTGCAGAATAGTTTGTTAAGGTCATGTAAGAAAAACTCTCTCCATGCAGAGGTGTCTGAGTTAAGTTGTTCAGTGTTGAACGTAACAGTAAAAGTCTTACATAGCAAGAACCAAAGGTAGTGAGGGTTTGTTTTTATCTCATACAGAAGCAGCTCAGACTCATGAGATCCTCTGATGATTGGATAGGGAAAGTATTGGTTTAGCATTAACTAAGGTATTGGCCTTTCACTGAGATTTAACCTAGGTAAAGTGATTTGTCTGCCTAACACTCTGTGTAGAATCACAGTTTCAAAGAGAAAGTATTGTTGAATGAATCATGAGCTTCTAGTAGCATGTGGTGGCTCTTGTCATTCCTAAACAGCACACCTGAGGACTAGGGAAGCAGAACAAAACATGGCTAGTTACAATACCTTGTTATCCAGAATACTTGCTGCAGCATTGCAGCAGTCTTGTGATGTTACGCTGGATGCTGTTTGGGTTTAGCTTTACATGTACCAGTTACAGCATTACCTGTTTAAACTTCTACAAGGAAAATAATAATTTTACTTCTTTTCATGCTGTTAATAACTTATTTTCCATAGAGGGGAATAAACAGTAATGCATAATTTAAGCAAAAATAAGTTCTACTAATTACAGATAGACGTAACTAGCAGTTACTTGTATCAGCCAATATATATATATATTTCCCTTAGTTGTGGCAGAAAAATTTGTTGTGGGATTTGTTTTTGTTTTTTTCCTAATGAAGAGGAAAAGCAAAGTTTAGTTATAGCAAATGTGGAGAAAAGCAGTTATCTGCTGTTATATCCATCAGTAGTATACTTGCATTTAACATCTTGTATGCTTAATGCAAGCAAATAGACATTGTTTAAGAGTGAACTGCTGTGAAGTAAATAGCTGTTTAAAATTACAGAATTTACTTCAATTTGCTTTGAATGCAATTTACTTTGCACAATTTACTTCAAGATTGGTTTGCTACATACTGCTGCTGCTCTGCTACTGTGTGATGGCTGCTAAGCTGAGGTCTTGATCAGACATT